CACCAGAACTCCACAGAACATCTTCAGCATGATCTGAGGGTGAATATATACTACATAAATTGATTGTGTATTTACCTTAACTTTTTAATTTTAAAATTGCAATTTTAAAAACTTGGTTGTGCTCTGCTGGAGGGGGATTGGGATAAGCTGCTTACACACATTTGCCTGTTTGTCCAGTGAAATTACATAAGCCTAACATATTCCTGCCAACCATATTGGCGTATTTAAGAACAAATGTATCTATATACTCTTGTCTGCAGCAGGAGGTCCCATGATATAGCAGTTCTCTAGGATGACAATACACTTTATACAGAAAGTTGGTTCTTAACTGAGGCTAGGGTTTTTTAGTTGAATTTTTAATATATAGGATGACAGGCAAAAGAATTATATGGGGGTTTTAACGGCATGCCAGCTTTGTCTTACAGTTTTAACACTGACTGTGTGGTTTTTGCCATGAAACTATGCCCTCCAGTGCCCTGACAAGGTGGGAACCTAGTTCTGGCTTTCTTCTTTGGTGAAGTTTCAGCCCTTGACCCTATACAAACAAGTATGTATTCATTTGTCTAGTTGCAAATCAGGTGCCTTTGGGCTACGGAAGGGCTTATTTTCTGACACTGAGATATAGCGACTAATCTGTGTGTGTTAATAGCAGTGATTCCCATGTAGGTTTTGGCCTGACTTAACCTGTGCTGTCAGAAAAAAGGCCCATAGCAGATTGGAGAAAGAGATTGGCTCTTTTGCTTTGCTTGGACAAGCATTTTGGGTTGTTTTGGTTTGGTTTTTTGTTTTGTTTTTTTTTTCCCCCCACTAGGGGAACAGCAGGGATTTCACATGCAAGAGATACAGGAATTATTAGTATCTAAGTTAATTGTGTTGCCTCACTACCTGGATTCATTCCTTGGTTTGCCTCATTTCCCATATAGGTCTTAATAGAGACTAATGCTTGTGCTGGGAGAATGCTTGTGTGAGAAAGTAATTATCTGTACATTCTTAACATACTTATAGCAGAGTGATTGCCCTGCTACTGATATTTTGTTCCTGTAAACAGGTGACAAGAAATGAATCTTAGTGTTTATGCAGATTTTGCATTGTAGAATGTATACTAGACCCTTCAAAGGAAAGGTTAGACTCTTTGCAAAGCAAACTGGCGTTGGTTCTTGGTAGTCTAGTACAGGGACACTGAAGTTTGACCTTTGATTTAGGAAAAAAAAGTTGTATGCAGCTGATTATGTTAAATAAGCTCTTAATTGCTCTTTGTAGAAGTCTAATTTGGAAGGTTTTAGTGCTTTGATAATACAGTTGAAGTTTTAATTTATCCTGTACTCAAGAGCTGAATGCTGTTCTTGTATAATAGTGTACTAGGCTGGATGAGGTACAAAATAATGCACAGTGGTCAGAAACAGCTGAGGAAAGAATGCTTAAAATAACTTGATCTAAACTCAGAATAGTTCCAAATATTGTTTTTGTTTGCTTTTTTTAAAGCACAAGTTGTCAAGTTGTACCTGTTGCTGTACATAAACACTGTATGCCAGCAGCTCCTTGATCATATTTGTGAACAGACTTTTCATTATTATTATTAGACTGTTATTAAAGGAAGATGTTGAATTTGAGAGTGTAACAAAATGAGAAATGATCGGATTATCTATAGTATGTAAAAGTCCATTCTTTATGTTGTAGTTTAATCCCTTTGTTAGGAAATTCCCTCTCATTGAGGGACCTCTTCTGCAAGCAGAACACAATAAATGTGCTTTTTTAAATGACCCAATTTTCCAGTATAAATGAACGGCTGACTTTGGCAGTAGTCGTCACCGTGTATCTCTTTGCTGGCAAGGGAACACGACAAGGAAAAAAAAAAAAAAACCAAAACAAACAACTGTCAGTGATGAGATGAAACGAATCTGAATAATCAAAATGACTGATACCCGAACATAATACTACACCCTGTTATTTAGGAAGATGCTTGTGGAAGCTTTTAATCACTCAAGATTTCGCTGTAAAAGCTGAAATAAAACAGAGCCTGGCTGCATTTATGACTGCCAAAAGCCAAGGTCATTTGCACATAGCCCATCAATTTATCCAGAGTAGATCTCAGTTAATCCAAGGCATGGAAATGCATGCATTTTCTTAGCTGGGCAAACAAGTACATTATACGGTAGTTGTGATACAACACACGTGGCTTTTATTTGTACTGCACATACCCACTGTACAGCCACTCAGAAGTATTGTGGTTAGCTTGCAGCATCTGCTGTCCGCATTTATACTGTTTACTGCGTATTCTTTTCCCTGGAAGTTTTAAAGAAAAATTTTTTTTCTTGTTGCATTGATTACATTTTATAAATTTGCTTAGCTGGAAAGTTTGGGAAAAGAGGCCTGTTTGTCAATTGTACAACCGATTGTGAAGCTCTAGTGTGAATATTTTTACGTCTGTATTAGACATTTTCTTTGCAAATCTATTGTTCGATTGAAATGTAAATGAAATAAAAGATGGTGTACACCCATCATGTATAAAGCAGGCACCATCGCTACGATGGATTTAATGCTCATTTTTATGGCGCATTCTCAGCTTCTATTTAAAACTATAATTTAAAAAAATCTGTAAAATGAAATGGGGATATATGGGGGAGTAAATTCTATTCCGTTTATTTCGGTTTTGAGTTCCCAATGGTAATGTTTCCCTTCGTGTTAGAAGTAGGGGGGCCCCGGCGGCGGGGCGGTGCCGTGTGTGTTTGCTGTAGCACTGAAGTGAAGAGGTTTTAGCTTTGGCTGGTCACGGAGTAGAGCATCCTGGTTTTCAGTGTTTGAGAGACTTGATGGAAGAAGTTTGCAGTATTGACATGTATTTGCATGCACGAATAAAAATTATTTGTCCACCTTAATTGTCTCTCTGCCTTCAACCGGGGGGGGGCGGTGTCGGGGCCGCTCCCG